CCACACAGAACCACATGGACCCACAGAACCACACAGGACCACACAGAACCACATGGACCCACAGAACCACACAGGACCACACAGAACCACATGGACCCACAGAACCACACAGGACCACACAGAACCACATGGACCCACAGAAACACACAGAACCACATGGACCCACAGAACCACACAGAACCACACAGAACCACAGAACCACACAGAACCACATGGACCCACAGAACCACACAGAACCACATGGACCCACAGAACCACACAAAACCACATGGACCCACAGAACCACACAGAACCACATGCACCCACAGAACCACATGGACCCACAGAACCACACAGAACCACATGGACCTGGTGTAAGGTTCTGTCTGATTCTTTGTGTTTGGACCCAGCAGCAGCAGCAGAGAAAAGGGGCGGTGCTCTCTGTACAAAGGTCCCGCCTCCACACTTTCCTTACTGGCTGACAGGCTGTCAATCACTGTTCCATAAAGAACTACAGAATCCAGTGTACATGTAGTTTTCTGTCATGTCTCCTGGGTTAAATTGGGGCGGGGCTTAAACCAGGGTGCACTCATTCATTGTTGCTTCAGCTTCCAGGTTCCGGTCCTGTTTTGGTTCTGGATGGTAAAAGCCCTTCCTGTCCTCTGCTTGTATCTGTTTCAGACTGACTCTGACCCTGTCCTGTCCCATGGACCTGAAGAACTTCCCCATGGATGTTCAGACCTGCATCATGCAGCTGGAGAGCTGTGAGTACCAGCAGAACCCGTTCAGAACCACTGACCTTAGGAACAGAACCAGTTCTTATCTGGATCTGTTCTGTCAGTAAAGCTGACCTGCGAGTCAGAAACAACAACACTTCAGCTGTGGTTCTGGAAGGGTTCCAGGTCCAGAACTTTCCACACTGATTCAATCTGTATCTGCAGTGACCCTGTCTGTGCACACCGCTCAGACGTGCACACCGCTCAGACGTGCACACCGCTCAGACGTGCACACAGATCAGACGTGCACACAGATCAGACGTGCACACAGA